TCCCTGCAATAATTGTCCCTGATAAATCTTATAAATGTTAAAAACGATACTTAAATTACAGTGGTAATGGTCGCTTTCTTAGAACAATAGTTGAACCACTTTGTATATCAAGAAAACCATGACCGCCGCCTAGTCCACCAGTGTGAATATATCATGTTAATGACGCTACTGGGATGATCCTTGACACGTGGCGCATTTACGTCAAATCTTTTGATGCTGGGCTAAAGCATTTCACCATTTCCCAGGGGCCCTTTTTTTTATTGCACCACATGTAGTATGAGGTTATCCCGACGGTCACTCCCTACCTCAGCAGTACCATCCTGGTGATATGTTATGCCCACTCATGATAATCATTTAAATGCTGGTTTGCGACAGGAAGCGAAAACTGCATTAAGTTTCCCCCTCCTCTCCCAACTGATCAGCACCGACAAGTGTATTCTTGCACAGTAGTATTTTGCTTGCAAAAGAGTGACATATATTTAGTAAGGTGTTTGAAAATTTACATTTTCGGAAGGATCAGGTCAGTTTCCAATCTATGTTTCATCCCTTAGCTGTAATTATACAGGGACAACAAAGGATGCAAGTAGGAATGCGAATTTTCGGTACTGCTTTCTACTTGCCAGGTAAGAAAGGAGTAAATTTAAATAAGCAGGACTGTAATAAAAACAGTGATATATTGAAGAGCTAGAAGTAAGTCAAACGCTAAGTGGAACTTTTAATATAATTTAAGAATAAGCTGGATGATCTCACATCACCAGGAAATACAGTAATGAGCAGGCTTGAAGCTACCATTTCATAAAAACAATCCGCCGGTGGGATTTCGTGCAGCGAACGAACAATAAGTTCGGGTAAGTTGTGAAATGGCGATAAGAAGCTATGATGCTTTACCAAAGAAGAATGAGTACTGTATCGAAAAGTCCTTACCGTTATTTTCCCGTTCGGTTTTTCCGGTGGTTCCCAGCGCACCAAAATCGAATTACGACTTAACGCACGGGCTTGTACTTTTTGCGGAGCACTAGTTGGCTCAGTTTCATCGGTTTGTACTTCTTTTGGCATACTTGCAATGCTGCGTCCAATTGCACTAACGGCTACTACCGCGATTTCATAGAGCTATAAAAATACTTATATACATCCGGAAAAACAGCTCTCTTAAATAAGTAAAACTCATTTTCGCTCTCTTCCGCTCCGCTCCCTCCCTTATCCCTCATCCTCTGCTTTCTCCTGTTTTTCCAGGTCAAAATGTAGGTGATAAAGAATTTTTAATAGACCCTTCCAAAAATAAGTTCAAAATTTCTAAAATGAAGTGTTAAATTTTTTTTTATAAGTCCTTTCCATCCACTTCCCTGCCTCGTCCCGCCTCCTGTTGAATTATTGCATTCCCTACCACAACAACGAATAATGCAATTCTATAATGATGATAGCTAGAAAAGTGAGCTGACCATTAAGTTCGTCAGTAGGCCGATGACTAGGTGAGGTAGCAGCGGCCAAATCAACTGAAAAAGTTTCCACCTACATAGCTGGAAAATTAGGCTATAAAATACGGATGATCCAAGTACCCTAATTATAAATGGTAATTCTCTACTGACTTGGAAAGGTTTCAAATCGCTGATAATTGTATTTGTGACATTGGCATAAACTTCTTT